AAGACTTCAAAGGCATATTGTTCCTCGAGTTCCCGCCCGAGACGCTTCCCCAACAAGTTCTGCCAATTCTACAAGAAGCATGTGGGAAACATAATCCCAGAGAAGGATCTCGCGGGGCTGGTGCAACACAGACGCCCCCATTGAGAAGCTGGCCGCCACGCCATTATTAAGTTTACGCTATATTTTGACCAAGTGGGACTTTAAGAAGAAGTTTCTGAAGGTCGACGGGGACATCGGTATTCTCAGAGCGGGGGGCAAACCAATATTGAAAGCAACAGTGGAGAATTGGAAGCTTAACTTGGCGCCACTGGATCAAACGTGGGAGGCATGGGGCGAACTTCAAAAAACTGCAGAATGGAAAAATGCGCAACAAAAAGCCAATGAGAGATTGGAGAGGAGCGCGGCCAACTCATCAAACGGGGCGGGCAAAGGTAAGCCCGCGCAGTGACGACGCCAAAGACGCACAAGCATAGTCTCACCCTCGGGGAACAACAGCGTCTCCGAGATACCGAATTCACGACTCAAAGTTGCAACATGGAATGTCAAAGGTTTAACGGAGGAGAAATTGGTTGATATAACAACGCACGCGGGCAATCACACTATTCAGTTAGTATGCGCACAAGAAACACGACAGAAACAGGCAGACATTTACGAGTTCAATGGGTACGTCAGTTTACTATCAGGTGCAGAAGGGGAGGCGCAATCCCTCACTGGAGTTGGGTTCATTATTTCAGAATCGGCATGGAAGCGAAGGCGATCGCATAAACAAGCATCGGACAGATTTGTCTGGGTCAAGATCCGAATGGAAAAAGGCACGTTTGGAATATTCTGCGTTTACGCCCCTCCAAACCCGAAGCCCACCCCAGAGAAGCTGCAATGTTATGCCGATCTCGATTTGGAATACAGGAATTGTTTAGCAAACGCTGGAAAGATTATTTTCGGGGACTCGAATGCACGAATGGGGCGAGCACGCCATGGAGAAGAACATATTATTGGGGATTACGGCTGGGGCAGAGAAGCAATGCATGCAGTAGAAACTCCAAACCGCGATTTGCTAGTCGAATTCTGCGACGGCCTCGCTCGATTTGAAGATTTAGCACTCGTTCTTCAACCGGCCACTGGTGGAGAAGATCACCTTCATCGCGCCTGGCGCGAGTTTCACGGGGGAGATCACGGAGAGCCAGTACGACATATTGGACATGCTTTTTTGCGATGCTGCCATATTATCGCAAATGCAATATGAGAAGAGCCACCGACAAATATCATTGGCTACAGACCATTACCTTGTTACCTGCACCATGGCATGCAAATTGGAGGCGCCACGCGAACACCAACACGCAGGAGTCGCACGCGAAGCTTTCCGGGACCACGGGCTACGACTACTATATGCAGAAAGATTTTTGGAAGCATTGGAAGATTTCCCAACGACGCCAGACACTGTAGAAAACCTATGGGAACAAGGCGCGCAGGCGGCTCAAGCTGCTACCAATGCACTTCCCCCAGCTTCAGCTGACAAGAAAAGACCATGGATTAGCAAACGGACGTTGGAGTTAATTGATGAGAGGAGCAGGGCGCGACAAGCAAGCAACATTCAAGAAGAGAAGCGTTTACTCAAACAAGTACGACAATCATGCAAACAAGACAAATCATCTTGGATTGAAGGGCGCATCGCAAACGGGAGTTGGGATGCCATGCGCGCTCATTGCCGAGCACGCCCACGCAAACAAGGACGCCTACAAAACCTGGCGGGGAAATTGGTGGAGAGTTCCGGACGGGCAGACACGATGGCGGAGTTCTTGGAAAAAGCGCAATGGAAAGGACGACCAGCATTATTATTACCGACGGACCGTTTGGGCCTACATTGCCAGTCTGCGAAGCGGCAGTCACACCGCAAAGAGGCTGGGCAAGTTGTTCAAAAACTCAAATGGAGCAAGTCTGCTGGAGCGGACGGTCTTCCTGCATAGTACTGGAAGGCAGCGACCCAAACTCCCGGCGGCATCGAATGGCCCAGGAAGTTATGCAACGCATGCTGGTCAGAGGAAGCTGTTCCTCACGCTTGGCGGCGCTCGTTGGCAAGCGCAATATGCAAAAACAAAGGGCCCGTGCACATCTGCGACAATTACAGACCAATCAGCTTACTCTGCGTGGCGCACAAAATGGCGGCAAGCTCACTTCTAAAACGATTGCAAAATGCCGGCGCTGAAGACCGGCTCGACGCGACGCAATTTGGCTTCTGCAGGGGGCGCCGCGCGGCAGATGCAATACATGTGGTACGAAGTCATATAGAAGCATCAAACATAGGGCGAAATGGTGGCTCAACATTCGTCGCGCTGGATTGGAAGAAAGCCTTCGGTTCAATTAATGGATGCGATGCTCGCAGCTCTTGGATGCTTTGGCCTCCCCGCGCGCATTTTGGCAATTATCAAAAACATATACGCTAACAGGAAGTTCTGTGTCACGGATGGTGGGCATAAGTCGAAAGAGAGGCCGCAACGTTCAGGCATCGCGCAAGGATGCCCCCTGTCACCGTTCTTGTTCGTGATAGTGATGACGGTGGCAATGTGCGATGCGGTGGAACTCCTCGACGGACAATCAAAACTTTCGCTCAAAAGTGGTATTATATCAATTCTGTTGTACGCAGACGATACTTCGATTTATGGCAGAAATCAACGAGACGTCCAAAACTTGTCGAGTGCGGTCGCCACCGCTGGGGGGGCAAGTTGGCATGGAGCTGCATTGGGATAAGTTTCAAGTTATGCACGTAAACAACAAAATGGAATTATTTACGCCTCACGGGGAACAAGTACATGCAAAAGACAATTTAGTATACCTTGGGGCTACAATCTACAATACTGGGCACATGCACGCATAATTGAACAAACGACTGGGGCAGGCTTGGGGGGAATTCTGCAGGTATGCGAAAGTATGGAAGCACACCTCAATCAGCATCAAAAAGAAGTTGCGGATTTTCCAAGCGATGGTCACAACAAGGTCTTGCATCCCCTCAGCTCGGCATGGTTCAACAAAGCCGAGAATCGACGATTGGATATTTTCCAAGCAAAGTGCCCCAGACAAATATTGAAGATCCCCCATTCGTTCGTATCCAAAGTATCAAACAAGATCGTTCTGGAGAGAAGCCAACAACTGCCTTGCACATCGCAGATATTGCAACACCAATTTCAGCTATTTGGGAAGATTGGCCGGAGCCCGAATTTCCATGCGATGCGCGCCGCAACGTTTCAACCTGATGGCCTCAAGCCGGTTACGCTACTTTGTAAACGTGCGCGGGGCAGACCAAAAAGAGAATGGGCAGCAGGATTGTTATCACATATTTATCCTTGTTTCCCTAGTTCTGAAGCTTTAATGGACACTCTGTTCGACAACAAAAATGGGACGCGTTAGCAGCCACAATTTCCAGGCCAATTGAATGCGGAGAAGACGAGTCCCTATGATATGCAGCGCATGGCTTGTGCGTCTTGGCAGGACACAAATACATCATCATATTCCTCCTCCGCCTCCTCCTCCTGCCGCCTTCCCGGCGCGCATTTGGCGCGCCCAGGCCACTTGGGCACGCGTTTGGCGTGTAATCGTATGTTCATAATTTTCCCCCCTCTTCTTCCCTCCGTCCGCTCGGCGCGCACTTGGCGCGTCCAGGCCAGGTTGACGCGCGTTTGGAATGTCGCTCTAGTTTTCCTTGCCCACGCGCTTTTGGCGCATGGCTGCTTCGTTCGCCCGTCCGTCCGTCCGTCTGGCGGTGGCTCGTCCCGTTGAGTGAGATCGATTGGGAGATCGGTTGCGAGATCGATGTGGTGCCCCGAGGTGTCCCGTGTTGTCCCCAAAAATGAGATCGATAGTGAGATCGACAGGTGTTCCATGGTGTCCCGTTAAGTGAGATCGATTGGGAGATCGATATTGAGATCTATGTGGTGCCCCGAGGTGTCCCGTGGTGTCCCGAAAAGTGAGATCGATAGTGAGATGGACAGGTGTCCCGCGGTGCCCCGTGGAGTGAGATCGATCGTGAGATCGATGTCCCGCGGTGTCCCGTGGCGTCCCGAAGAGTGAGATCGATAGTGATATTGGCATTGTCAATATCACTATCGATCTCACTCAACGGGACACCACGGGACACTTGTCAAGTGTCCCGTGGTGCCCCGTTGAGTGAAATCGACAGTGAATTCGATTGAGCCATATTTGGGTTCCTTTCCTTCCCCCTCCCTCACCCGCAACTTCCTTATCACCCGAGGGGTGGTCGTATAAACAGTAAACGGCAACTCGATGGGCAAGGGAAAAATGAGAACTATATATATATGTAGAAAAAAGAAGAATCAAATCATCGGTTTGCCAGTGCTTACGTCAACCGTGGTTTAAAGCGCGCTTAGCGATGAGGTAATCCCAGAAAATTTTCGCCCACTACCGCCCCTACTCCAGCTCCCGCTCCCGCCCCCAATCCCGGCTTCATTCTCATGAATAAACGATACAAATTTAAAGTTTGCAAAAACCCCCCAAGAAAGACGACGTTTGGCAACGCGAAGTCAACGCGATAGCAGGATTTCAGTTTGTGTCGTTCTGATGGCGTAAGGACCAAATCCAATGTGTCAGCAACATTGCTTCCCCAAATGTGCACCCCTCTTCCGATCCCAATTTCCAACTAGATTTTTCCAAATATTTCCAATTCCAGCCCTCGACCTTACCGCCAATCACGCAAGTCAAAAGACAATACACCAAATCACATGTATGTTCTTTTGTCGCGCGCGCATTTTTTTCAATGGGGCCCGAATCGGCGAGGCGATTCGGGGGAAACCACAGACATTAGAATGGAAAGGCTGCATGCTGACGAAATGTCTGTACCATTCGGATTCTGTATGCTTATTCAATTTGTCAAACAAGTAAACATTCTGCGAAAGCAAACATCGCCATTTGCTCAACCTTTTGAGGTGTGTGGCTTTTGGCAGGAGCCGATCCTGCTCTGGTGTGCATTTGGTTTTCTCCCCGATGCACAGGGCACACTACGGACACGCAGAACGATGACGACAATGATGGTGATGACGCAGGGCTTGATCATGGCGTCCGCGATGATCGACCCGAAGCCGACTGGAGCGGCGGCGGTGGTGGCGCTGGTGGAGATCACGACCATGGCACTTCTACTCGCCCTCGCTCGCATGATAGTCCTGGCGGTCCGACTGGCGACCGTCGTGTTCGTCTCGTCTTCGTCAGAGGCTCTTCGACACCAACCAACTGCAGGTCAAGAACACCTTCGTGGAGTACGCTGACGGCGAGATTTCCTTGCCTTCTGGCGTGCGGCCGCGGGCCTGATCTTTGCCGCCACCTGCTCGGGGCTCCGACGCCGGAGCTTTTTACATTGGCTCTGAATGTGATGAAGATCTTTGGGCTGAGTACGACGACCTGTTTTTCCCGGCAGTGCCGACCTTCCCTACTTTCGGCATAGATTTCCACTCTGTCGAGAGCTCGTTCCACAGGTTGCAGGCGGCGCTGGCCCGGTGTGATAAGTACGCTGTGGCCGTCTCCGGCGTCACTTGGGAAACCAGCCAGGAGGCCGACATGGAATGCATAATGGACCACTACGACATGGATTCCGTTGTTCGTCATGAGGTTGTCCGTTGCGGCCCCGAAGACATTCGTGGCACAGCGGTTCGTCGTGAGTCTCGTCTTGATGCTATTTGTCATGCTCTTGAGAGTTTATGACCAAACTACGCGTGCGGAGCCTCACGTTCATGAAGCTGTTCGTCCTGAGCCCCTCCTTGAAGCTTATCGTCATGGTCGCGAGGACGCTCCTGGTCAAGCGGGTCGTGTCGATCCTCTTCTTGATGGAGCTGTTCGTCCGGGTCCTCTCCAGTCCCTCCGGGTCTCACCGTGATCAGCTTGCGTGCTGATTTTGTTCATCATGCGGTCCTTGATGGCTCCTTAGCGGCGACGCGTGAGTACTGCCTTCGCGTGTGGTAGTGCGCTTCCAATTGTGCTGACCGTAGGCTTCTCCTTTGGGGCTGCGATTCCATCGGCAAATCCAAGAATATATAAAACAGACATATTGATATTTAATTGTATGTATTTTTTCCGCCGTCGCCTGCCCCTATGCACGCTTTCGGCTACAGAGTGCTAGTCAGCCAGCCTTGTCGTAACGCAGCCTTTCTTTCTTTGTCTCGGTAGCATGCCGGCCCACTGTTACGACGCTCCGTTCTTTAATTGTTTTGATAATCCCAGCGATCCGAGTAATCAAAAGTACGGAAGGGGGGGGAATACACAGCATTCTTTCTTTGTGCGCACTTTGGTTGCAAACAGTGCTGAGCACGCCTATTGCCGCGTGTCCTCTTCGGGGATGCGTGCGGTACATGCAGCGCTTCTCGAGCGAAAATACCGCACAATTTGCGAAGCGTTTTGTTCAGCATGATCATCATCATCAGCAGCAAGAATTCATCATCATCATCATCATCATCATCATCATCATCATCATCATCATCATCATCATCATCATCATCATCATCATCATTTTTTCTTTCCTCCGCCTTCTCCAGTCCTCACGAAGCAAAAACTCCTACCAGCCCTCTGGGCGTCCAGGGCGTCGGTGGTTTAGCGCGTTTCCTTTTCCACCCCTCCCCCTTCCCCTTCGGGGAGGGGTTTACCCCTCCCACCTACCCCTTCTACCCCTCCCCATGAACCTGGACGGGGGCAGCGGGACAGTGTCAGTGCGTATTTTGGCGCCAAATTGGCTCCAAGAAGGCCATAGTGAGCCCAAGATAGCCTCCAAGATGGCTCTAGCGTAAGATGCCTCGACATAGCTCCCAAGATGCTCCAAGAAACTCCACGACCGCCTTAAGATGGGTCTAAGTGGCCAAAAGAGCTCAATGAGGCCCCGACGAAGCCAAAAATCATACCAAAACCTAAAGAAATCAATGTTTTCTGTTTTCTCACCCTTTCGCTTCCGATTGCCATCCGAGGCTTCAAGATGGCTCCAGGATGGCCCCCAAAGGGGCCCAAGAGAGACCCAAGACGGCCCCAAGAGCGCCCGAAGAACGCTCCAAGATGGGTCCAAGAGGCGATTGGTGTTCTTGAGGGGGGGCTCCCTAAGAATTCAAGAAGCTTCCACGACAATTCCGAAGAGACATCCAAGGAGACCCTTATGTTCGTCATGTTTCTTGTTCCTCCTCTTTTTTCTCTTCCTCCTTTTCTTCCTTCCCCTCCTTCTCATCATCATCCTTGTCCGCCTATCCTTCCCTTTATCCTCATCCGTCTCCTGCTCCTGCTCCTTCTTCTCGTATCTTCTTCTCTTCCACCGCCTCCTCATAATATTTGTTTCCTGCTCTATTCCCCCTGGCCAATTTGCATATATTGTTATTCGCCTCCTCCCTCCCTCCTGCTCCTCATCATCATCCTTGTCCGCCTATTCTAATAGTCTTCTTTCCCTTCCTCTTTATCAGCCTCCTGCTCTTGCTCTTGCTCCTGGTCCTCCTCCTCCTCCTCCTCTTCCCCCTCCGCCGCCTCATCATTATCTTTTTGTTTCCTTGTTTTCTTCCCCGACATCCTCCTCCTCCCCCTCATGACCATTTGCTGATCATGTTTTTCGCTTCCTCCTTATCTCTCTTCTTTGGTTACGTCGGTGTCCTAATCCCAAAGACGCCTCAAATGCCCCCAAGAAGATTCCAACCGCCTCTACGAGGCGTCACAAGGCATCGAAATTGCCTCCTTCAGGCCCCAAAGCGGCCAACCACGAGCATCTAACCAACATCCATGACGCCTCTGACATACCGTCCAGCCAAATTGGCCAGACACGCCGAAAGCTACAAGATAGCCCCATGAAGGCCCCGAATAACCCCCCCCCCCAAAAAAAGCAGCAAAAAGTCCGAACAAACCACAACCATTCATTTTTCGCCTCAAAGTCGATATGTTTTCATTTCGTACAAACTAACACCCACAGTTCCACTACGCCTTGCCACGCACCTGCATCAGTTGGCCGCTTCCTCTAGCGCGGTGGCGGATATGTGCAGCAATGCAATTGGATACTCTGTGTCCCTCAATAGTTTTGGGGCCCCTGGACTACAGGTACCCCCCGGACTACAAGTACCCCTCCCCCGGACTACAGGTACCCCCCCCCCCCGGACTACAGGTACCCCCCCCTGGACTACAGGTACCCCCCCCGGACTACAAGTACCCCCCCCCCGGACAGGTACCCCCCCCAGACTACAGGTACCCCCCTAGCCCCCGGAATTACAAGCCCCCCGGACTACAAGTACCCCCCAGCGCGCCCCCCCTGGACTACAGGTACCCCCCCCCAGACTACAGGTACCCCTCCCCCGGACTACAAGTACCCCCCCCGGACTACAGGTCCCCCCCCCCCGGACTACAGGCACCCCCCCCGGACTACAAACTACAGGTACCCCCTAGCCCCAGAACTACAAGCCCCCGGACTACAAGTACCCCCCAGCGCGCCCCCCCTGGACTACAAGTACCCCCTCCTGACTACAGGTACCCCCCCCGGACTACAAGTACCCCACCCAGATTACAGGTACCCCCCCCCGGACTACAAGTACCCCACCCCCGGACTATAGGTACCCCCCCCGGACTACAGGTATACCCCCAGAACTATTGAGGGACACAGAGTATTTCAAATCACGCCCCCGACCATGGAGATTTGGCAAGGATGCCACAAGCGAGACTTAAATCGCGTTGGGGGAAGAATTGCGCAAGAGTTTGCAATAAACATTACAACATAATGTAATACAACAGAACTTTCGGAACGATCATAGGCAACACAAATGGCACGCACGCACCGCGAACGTTCACAAGCGTATGCATACCTCGTGTATTCTTGATGACCCTCCTCACGCACCAAGAGACTCACAATCAGTGAACACGACGACAAGGACAGAAAGAGTTGGAAGAGAAAAAAAACGAGGAGAAGAGATATAACAAAAAGAACAGGAGGAAAGAGACAGGCCGAGAATAAGGAAGAGGAGGAGGAGCCAAAGAAGAACGAAGATGACCAGGAGAATGAAGACGATGACGAAAAACGGAAACAGGAGGAACAGGCTAACAAGGGAGAAGGAGATAGAAAAAGGAGGAAAGGAGAGGAAAACACGGAAGAAGAGTTCGCCTTCTGAGGCCATCTCACAGGCCATTCTACAGGGCACCGTGTTCGCCTCACATGTTCTCCCCAAATATTTGTCTCCCTCTTCCCCCAAAGTGACCGACAGATGCGAATCATCGATGCTTATTTACAGAACGGCTGTTTCAGGATGGATTGGTGGGGATTCACATGGATTCACGAAGCGTCAATGTCAACATCAACGCATCGCTTTGTTGTGCGCTTCGATGTTAACGGGAACCAAGTGCGTTTCGATATTGGCAAATATTGTCCGTTCAAGTTCTAATTCGTGGCCTGCTAGAGATACGTAATTTCAAAATGACAAACGTGGTGGGGAGCTGCGATGTTGCCGCCTCTTGGAAAATATACCACATCATTCCCACGCGCAGATTTTATTGTGTTGCAGACTTGTTAAATTTACGGGAAAAAACGCTTTGGTATAGATTGAGTACGCACGCATGCTACATTTGCTTCAGTTTTTGTTATTGCGCGTCTCGATGCATTGCAAATTCGTTTTCTGTATTTGTTAATATCGCCCCATCGTGCACACGGCATGATACATCGGCCAAACCAGTGCTTGCGTTGCAAAGACCTGCTGCAGCTCGTGCTGTCACAAGTGGCCAATACAGAGAATTGACCATTGTACCTCTCGCCGTGGTGCCTCCACCCCCTCCGTCATTTGCGGCAAACCGGAAATCGGTCGTGAACATTTTGCTGGTCGTCTTGCCGTTTTTCTGTGGTGTCCCGTGTGTTGTTCGTTCGTGTTTCAATATATATATATATATATATATATATATATATATATATATATGCGTGTGGCATCCGAATTAACCACTAAAAACCTCTTGGTTCCGTAACCCACGCACGTAGTTAACATGATCTGGACATTCGTGTTGGAGAGCTAACAACCATCACGGCAAGCAACCAGTAATCGCAGTGGATTGAATACCGACCGCAAATTCACGATATTTGATTACGACGGACACTATGTTTGGATGCCGAAGCATTTTTCCGGGTCCCCCTGAAAAGAAAAATGTTCGGTGTTCGCAGAAACGTACAATTAAAATATGTGCATATGTCGTGGGGAGCTTGGGAGTCGGAATTTCGGCATCTTGCTTTGGAATAAATTCCTAAATGAATTCACCAACAACATGCGTTGAATTTGAAATGATTTACCAATTACGAAGCCCGAAACGCAAACACTAATTTGAAAACAAAAAAACCCAACATTCGGCATAAACGCACACGGATAAAATTCCGAGACAATGAGACTCGTTGTTTGGGAATGTACTCTATAATTGCAATGCAGGCCAGCTTGGTAATGAGATAATGATGGCTGTCTTTTCCAATACGAACGCGTTGGCCCCCGCAAAATCAATAATACGAACCCCAGACTTGTCCAAACATCGAATTATTATCTGGTTAAAACAGTTATGAGAAACATTTGCAAATGACGAATCCGAGAAGCATTGTTTTTTAAACGGATACATTGTCTTATGCCGCCCTGCGAACACGAGTGGTATATTTCCGTTCTCAATCAGTTTGCGGGCATTTGTCATCGCGCGAATTAGTGCTCTTCTTTTTTGACCGGTATGTTTTGTTTATCTCCCGTTCCATATCAGTCCCGCAATTTCATTAATGGAGTTGCACTTGGGATTGCATTGGAGAGTTGTATTAAGCAGATGCACAAACGAATTGTGCTTTTGAGTATGCTACTAAGTTGCACTATTGACAAAGAGTTGTGTTTGTACTATTTGTACTAGAGAATTGTATTACAACTGCATTAAAGAGTTGTATAAAGTATAATTACTCCGACGGTAGGACCCCACACGAGAACCTGTTTAGCTTACCCTTTGCCCTTTCCTCCTCCCCCTGGCGGACACCCTCTCCTCTCGCCCCCTGCACTGCCCTCTCTTCCCCCTTCTATTGCGAAGGCCTGACGGCCGGTGCCGCCGACCCTGTTCGCAATGCGCAGCAAGAGGCACGGGCTGTGGGATGGTTTGGGGGAACGGGGAGAAGGACGAGAAGGTGGGGGAGGGAGGTGTCGTATCTGACCCGGGACTTCCCCGGGACTCCCCCGGGACCCCCCCCGGGACCTCCTCTCCCCCCCCCGTCGGGGAAGGGAAAGGGAAGGGGCTTCCCTTCGACTCAATGACGACGTTGCTCAAGGTCGGTACGGGGGGGGGGCGTCGTATCTGACTCGGGGGGGGGGTCGCTACCCC